TCAAATATTTGCATATTATTTCACTATTTTTAGCAGCATAGTATCTCACAGTATAGATGTGGGAAGCACTGCTTAAGCAGCTCATGTAAGTAAGCCAGACCACACACCTAAACATTGCCTTACTCTCTACACAGCTATTAATACTTGTGCAGCAGGGAATGCACTGTCTACTCATGGAGAGCAATTTCCTCCTTTTTTGCATTTATTTCTGCCTTAAACATGCACATGTAGTCAGTGAGACTAGTTACTTACATCATCGCAGGACATATTATACTCTGCCAAGACTGTTCGACATCGTGCTGCTATACTGTGTGGATTTGGTCAAAGGAAAGTTCTAAACATTTAGAGTGGGCTGAAGATACAGTAAGAATTCTCAGCTTTTAATGACAAACTATCAAAGGATACATCGATGGTGCCACCACTCTTTTGTGTATTCCAGCAAAGAACAAGCCTATTAGAGTAATACAACTAATTGTGAAGAATGGATGATTCCACAATGATGTGAAAAAGGACACCTAGGAAAGAAATCAAATTATCTTGAAGAAACACTATTAAAAGAATCCATAACTGAAGGGACATCATCCAGTTGGAGACCAAGCATTTCAAATCTGATGTTTAGGCCACTAGACTTAGCTGGAATGGATCACTTAAAATTCCCTCGTTATTCAGAAGTTACCCCGTGTTTAACACTGCTACTCTTCACAAAAAGGGCTTCTGCCAAAACACCCTCCCTATCAATGTCCTTTCTGCTTTCAGATATTTTGGAAGGTAACAGAGAAAATAGTCTCCCATTTCCTAGGAATGTCCCAATTAGAGAAGCTGCCCTATTAAGTGATGAGTTAAGAAAAAAACCCACCAAGTAACATTTTAGTTCTACCCTGGATCATACAGCACCCTTTTAAACTCAGAACCATCTTCTACCCTGGACCATACAGCACCCTTTTAAACTCAGAACCAAATAGCCAGTTAACACATGAAGAAAGATTTTTAAAACTATGAGATTCCCTAGGATATTTTATCTTCATTTTCTGATTTGATAACTTCATTTCTTATTGTAGTAAAACTGTTTGAATCTCTGCAATTAAGTTTCTTTTTTTAGGTTCCATAACAACAGTCTAAAATTAAAGAGTACTTTTCTGTTACTGATACAGAAAAAAAAATCAATTGTTCATCATTCATTGTGTATTTTTCCTTCCACTTCTGAATAAAATGCTATAGCTCTACCTCAGTTTATTGCTAAAGACGTAAAAATGAAAATAAGTTTAGACTCCTTTACCAATTTTTTCTGCTGGATGGTAAAGCGAACTTCTTATATTCCACACAAAACTCAGAATCCATGTAAAGATCATTCAACAAATACACCTTCAGATTCAGTTTCATAGATATAATGTAGCAAAAACTCTGCCATCATTTCAGTAAACGCCACAAAATGTTTTGTTTGGGCTGAAATTTACAATATCAAATCTTGGTCTACTCCATCCACACACTTTAGGGGAAAAAAAATCAGTTGTGATCATCTTAGATATTCGTATTAAACAAAAACGTAAGTGCACAGATGCTGTATGCAGATCTACAGTGACAAATTTTAAACAGTGCCACTGCTGCACAGAGTTATGTCAAAGAGAAAAGGAAATACAGGTTGGACCTCCTAAATCCAAGACTTTCTCTGGTCTAGCAACATGTTCCTGCACCAGGGAGTCCTGGCTGGGAGCCCAGTGGCAAGCTGGGAGACCTGCTGAGCTGGGAGCCTGGCAGCAGCAGGACTGGGACCAGGGCTGAAGCCCCTGTAGCACAGCAGGATGGAGGCAGTCTGAGCTGCCAGGGCCACAGCAGCATTGCAGCCAGTTAGGGGGAGTGGCTGGGGCCAGCAGTGGGGAAGGGCAGTGAGCTGGGAAAGACCAGTAACTGGGGACCACACCTGGTCTGGCCAATTACCTTATTTGGGATAAGGATGTTAAGGACTAGTCGACATAGTTGAGTCAGCTAGTCACTTCACCCCCTTCTGTCAAAGGCAGCAGAGGCAGTACTTCAAAGTAGCAGCACCGCACAGGCTCCGTGCAGTGCTGCCGCTTTGAAACCTGTGGCAGCATTTCAAAGAGACAGCGCTGCACAGCTGATACCAGGCTCCATGTGGGGGCTACCTAGCTGACACCGGGCTCCGTGTGGCATTTCTGTGAAACCCAGAGTCGGCGGGGGAGTCCTCAGCAGATCCCGGGCTTCATGCAGGCATTTCTGCATTGAAATGCAGACAAGCCCCTGCTAGGGCTCTTGTACATCTCAAAGAAGGAATGTGGAAGTGCCTATTGACTAGTCAATGGAAATTCCATCGATTACTCGACTAGTAAATTAATCAATATTTAACATCCTTAATTTGGGACCCCGAGGGTGCTAGACCAAAGAGGTCCAACCTGTACTTCTAAAGTGCAGAGGTATGTAAGGAGAAAAAAAAAATTTCAGGACCAATTAACTTGCTAGTGTCCTCACAAGTTCAATTTTCTTGATCATCAATCAGTTTAGTTGAAGGTGGCCTCAGCATATTATGCTCTATAGATAGAGAAAACAAAGTTATTCTTCTGGGGAAATCACCTTTACTCAGCACAGCTGTGGAATGCCTCAAATATTCTTAGTTGCCCCTTCAAATCCAAGTCTAATCCTTGTGATGTAAATGATCCTCTGAATTTGCTCTTAGTCACTAATGTCTTGATTCAATCAGTTAGGTAAATAACTCTGCTATTAGCTTTTTCACTCTTCAAGGCAGTCCACAACTCCCAACTACATACATTCGGTTTTTATTATCTAGGTCACATATTATGAGAATTTAGTATTTCAACCTTAAAATGTAACTTACCTTCTGTGTCTCAGGAATCAGTTAGGTAAATAACTCTGCAATTAGCTTTTTCACTCTTCAAGGCAGTCCACAACTCCCAACTACATACATTCGGTTTTTATTATCTAGGTCACATATTATGAGAATTTAGTATTTCAACCTTAAAATGTAACTTACCTTCTGTGTCTCAGGATCTATTAACCAGTTCCAAGCACCAGTAGCTGTGCAGACTGATACCACTATAAGAATCACTGATGGAAAACAGAAGTCATAAACACAGCTGGTTCATACTCATGAGAAAATACTCAATGTCTCATGAAAAGCCTTGAAAGAGAGATTACATTCTATTTTGTTTCACCTCCAGATTTTTTACTACAATGGCTGAAGAAATGCAAGATTTCTTTGAAGAGTTTTACTTCCATATCATGTTGGTTTCTTATCTTGACTTCCACCTTTCTATTTAAGTCCAAGTGGAAGGAGGTAAAAAAAAGTTTTATTGTTTAAAAAAAATGCAATACAGTAGACTTTCAATAATCCAGAACCTATGGGACCTAGGTGGTGCCAGATTATCAGATGTGCCGGATATTAGCTGGTTATTTTTATTTATACACACACACACACACACACACACACACACACACACACACACACCCACATATACATTATATACTGTATATAAAGTGTTCTTAACCTTTTTTATTGTACATACTGTATACAGTATACTGTATGTTTTAGGTGTTTTTAAGCCTTTTTTTTTTTTACCCTTTTTGCTCAGTTCAGCTGCTGCTGCTGCTATCGTGTTACTCATTTTTTGCCGAAGCTCACTCACTAGGCTCTTGCCATTTTGATGCCGGACTATCAGGAGTGCCGGACTATTGGAGTTTTACTGTACTTTGAAAATTTTATAAGCTTCCTAAGGAACAACTTTCATGCTGAAAATTCTATAAGCTTCCTAAGGAACAACTTTCATGCGGGGGGGTGGGATAGCTCAGTGGTTTGAATATTGGCCTGCTAAACCCAGGATTGTGAGTTTAGTCCTCGAGAGGGCCACTTAAGGATTTGGGGCACTGATTTATAAAATTGAGGAATAGTACAGAATTAGCTCTAAGCAATATGCTAAAACAACAAAACCAAACAACACACATTACTCTGCAGTAAAGGCCAACACCACTAAGGTTCCAGTCCTGCAAGCTGCTCTGTACATAGAGGCAGGCAGTGTTGCCAACTCTTGTAGTTTTACTGCAAGTGTAGAAATATTTTGTACTTTTCTTAAAGCTCCCGCTCCAGGAGACAAGTAATTATGCAACAATCTTAAAAGTTTAAGTTTGATTTCAAGCCCTCTGCTCACAACTGTGGATAAAAGCCTGTAAGATGTGAACCATGCACCCTCTAAAGGTTCAAACCTCATTGCTTGTAAAGCAGACTTGTGATACCTTAATTTTGGGGGTCAGAGAATACTAATAAATAAAAATAGTCCAAGTAAGGGCTGGATTTGACACATTCTAAAGGGACAGAAAAAAAGCTCTGCCTTATAAAAATAAAAGTTATTTCTCCAATTTACACAGAAAGATAATAAAGATTAGAAAAAAAGCTATGCCTTATAAAAATAAAAAAGTTATTTCTCCAATTTACACAGAAAGATAATAAAGATCTAACCACATCAATAACAGTTTCCCAGGAATAAAGTAATTATTATATAGATAACAGAATTATGAAGTCAATAGACACCACAGCCAATTTTAATTTAAAACTTCTTCATGAGTGTGCCTTAAGTCAGTAAAACTTTAGTCTGGTTGTATAAATAACTGAACAGGTTTGGAAGAGACAGTTGTAAAGTGAACACAACCATTAAAATAATCAATTATAGAACCAATGAACTTAAAATTTATTGGGTTTTAGGGAAACCCTGAAAAACATAATAAGGGATGGGAGTATGTCATCGATAACCATGTTGTTTTACGTTATCATGAAGACACAGTCCAACTTAGAAACCAAACCCCTCTATTCAGCCACAAAATAGATACAAGACTGAAAAAAGGCAGTTCAGACTAGGGATGTAAAATTCAGTTTAAAATGTTAACCGGCCCACCACATCACGCCATGGGCAGTGGGCTGCTGGAGTATACCCTTCCTGTGGTGTGGTGGGCCCTGATGGGCTAGAGCAACCCCCTGCTCATAACACAAAGAGCTGTTCTGGTCGAGCAGGCACCAGTTAACTGGTTACCCTGGTAAGCATGCCAGGAAAGCAATGTTTCCCCTTTGCATTCCCAGTTCAGGCTTCAACTACGTCTACACTAGACAGCTCACAGTGGCACAGCTGTACCTTTGCAGCTGTGCTCCTATAAGATCTCATGTACATACTCTAGCCTTACGAAAGAGCTCTGCCAGTGACAAATCAAACCAAACAATAATTATGTTGGCAGGAGCTCGCCTGCTGAAAAGCACATATATTGCTAACACACATGCCAGCAAAACTTCTGTCACTCATGGGGGGTGAGTGACAGAAGCAGTAGCGTAGAGATGGCCTTAATCACAAAGCCTCAGTGTGTCATGAAGAGTTCCTTTTAAAAAGCTGAATTCAGTCTTCAAAGCCCATTCAATCCTTGCCCTCTTTGCTAAAGCTGCTTACAAAATCGTCCTCCTTCTGATTATACTTCTAGCTGTGTTGTTTTTGCCAATACAAGTTGAACCTCTCGAGTCCAGCGCTCTCTGGGCCAAGTACATCCATGATCTGGAATGATTTTAGTTAGCTGGATGTCCACTTATGAATGTGGCCAAATTTCCTGTGATCCTATAAAATTTGTTTACAAGACACCAGTCCTGGTTCTCAGTATTCTGTGCTATGATTTAGCTCTAATTTATCCCTAAATATCTTCTAGGAGCCCAGTAAGCAGTGGAGGTGTTGGTAATACAGCCAGATAATATTGACCTCCTATGGTTCAGCAAAGTCTCTGGTTTAGCAACAGTCAGGTCCTCAGGTAGATAGACTTGACAAGAGAGGTCAGCCTATATCTACTTTTAAATAGAAACTGTACAAATGCTTTTAGCATTTTCTGCACATAGTATAGATGCAATAGCATTAAACCATTATTTTACTGTTACTATTGTGATGAATAGGAGTGCTGTCCTTTTCTAACCATCCCAGCATTCAGTAACTAAAGGATTAAACCCACATAGCTAGAAAGTGTTGTCAGGGATGCAGGAGAACCAATAGGAAGCAAGTGTTGAGATTTGAATGGAAAGGGAATCTGCTTTCTGTTTTTCTTTGTCTGAGTTTAAGCCAAGAGCTGGGGGGGAAAGAATTAAAATTGGCAGGGGCACCCCATTCCCAGAAAGAGAATACCCCCAATTGTAGAAATGGACTGGTCTTTGGAAGTATGGATACATACTCGAGTAGACAGGGAATGTTTATTTAGATGCTATCAGGTTATTTATTTTGTTGTTTGGTTAAATTTATCTGGGTTAAGACCATGTGCCCCCCTAAACACCATAACTTTAAAGCTGAATCCCAGAGAAGAAATTCTTTATGCTTCACTGTTTTCTCAGTTGCTCCATAACACCTAGAAACCAAGTATGCTTTACCAAGTGTATCTTTTGTTTTGTTAATAAAAATCATTTCTTTTTAAGGCTATGATCACATTATTGTGTCCTGGAAGGCAATAGGAGTTCTGTGTATGCATGCCTAAGACTGAGAGGTCAGCTATCTGAGATTACCATTTGTTTTTTCAAGCTCTCGTGTTAAAAGAGCTTGGGGTACCCCTCTGGAAGAAGTTCCCCAGAGATTTCTTCCTGGGTTCAAGAAGAAAGGAGTTTTTTCACACTTGGGTGGTGGCAGCAACCCTTCCAAGGTCAGGGAATCTATGACCTTTGGGAGTTTTTTTAAGCAGAAGCGTATAGAGGCAAGGTATTTTTAAGGTCACTCACGGGATTCCCAGCTTTTGCATTTGAAGTGCCAGAACGGGGAACAGCCTTGACCACTGTCTGTATGTGTTATCTTCAAATATTTAAGAGACTTTTAGGCTCAAACAAATTACGTACAATGAGATTTTCAAAGCACCGATTTGTTTTTGTGAACACAATTCATCTATAGGGATAAATAGGGGTAAATGCCAACTAACATATTAAAGAGTCAGTCCAACTTCTCCTTTAAAATATTAAGCTTACTTCTCCAACGTCCAGTAGCTGGTTGCAAACATGCAATATATTCAGTAAGTCTTCTTTCAAAAGCCTTGAGGTCTGAGGAAGAGAGAGAGAGAGAGAGAGAGAGAGCAATCTAGTAAATCGTCATCTATTAGATGAACTTTTAATAGTTAATGCTTCAGATTCTATTATATTACTTATGCCACGTGTAGTTTAGTCTCAACTTGCAGAGGAAAGCTGTAATAAATCATCAAAAATCACTTGCATCTAAGATTAAGCTAAATGGATTGAAAGATGTATAGCACTGTATCTCAGCACATTAGATAGATATGGGGCTTTTACATATATGGAATCCGGTCACGTATATTACTTCTTGGTAGAGGGCTTAATTAAAAAGTATGGTAAGCTTTAAAGCTAACCATACTTTTTAAATTAAGCCCTCTACCAAAAGGTAATGTACGTGACAGGCATCTCCATATATCTAAAAGCCCCATATCTATCTATCTATCAATATCGATATTAAAGTGAATAGAATGATTTGATAAAGTATCCCTTTGTAAGTCCAAATGCAAGCCATTAATATTAATGGATTAAAATACTCTAAAACAAATATTGCAGGGGAGGGATAGCTCAGTGGTTTGAGCATTGGCCTGCTAAACCCAGGGTTGTCAGTTCAATTCTTGCAGACGCCATTTAGGGATTTGGGGCAAAAAACATCAGGGATGGTAATTGGTCCTGCTGAGAAGGCAGGGGACTGGACTCTATGACCTTTCAAGGTCCCTTCCAGTTCTAGGAGATAGACAATCTCCATTATCATCTGCGGTAATTAAAATAGAGATTGGTATTTTGGGATTAGAATATGATCACCGTAACGCTACTGAAATTCTTAGGTCATTTGGAATCATTTCTGTGGTAATTAAAATAGAGATTGGTGTTTTGGGATTAGAATATGATCACCATAACGCTACAGAAATTCTTAGGTCATTTGGAATCATTTAAGATTTTTACACTCCTTACAGTTCCAATAACCTATTTTTTAACATGTCGTTCATGTATACAATACAATCACAAATTGTCAACTTTTTTAGAATCTGATTAATGAAGTAGCATGTTTGGCTTTGCAACATTGTTTAACATGGAGAAGTCTACTTTCGAAATATTTTCAGATTTTGAAAAATGTCAACTACTCATTTTAACTTCTGGGAAGATTTCCTTTTGAACCAGACAAGCTCTGGGCCTTAAACTATCCATTATCATACAATGTGAAGTTTGACTTATTAATAAAAATTTCAAACTGGCTCCAAGTGACAACCACTATTCTTGAAAATAATTTCATATTATATTAGCATCTCAAGCTCTAATAAAGGTATCAATTCCAAAAAATACAAGAAAAATACTTTTATTAAAATATATAACTGTTACTGAAGTGTGTACTTAATCTAAAATATATGCAAAGATTATTTCAATGTTCCCTGTGGGAACAAATGTAACTATTAATCAATAGAAAACTTTTAAAAAAATAAAGTACATACAAAAAAAGGCTTGCACTACAATTTAAGTTTCAATACTCAAATTATCAAGAAACAATTAAAAAAAAGATGGTCTTGGTGTTAAAAATAGTGTCCCCACATTCTAACTAAAGAGACAATTTTGATGGATATGGAGATAATTATCTCTTTGATTAGAACTTGTAAACAATTTATTGGAACAGTAATTTTACATTGCCTATATTATACACACTACACACATAGAGTAAGTGTTGACAGTCAAGTCAGTATTACATATTTTCCAATATTTCTGGCAATATATCTACATTTGTTTAGATTAGTAAATGCTGTATTTAGAAGTACTGGTATGTCAACGAAATACTCTGTTGTATTGATTTTTTGCAGAAAGAAAACAGCTGTAAGTTACTTCTAATAGCCTTCACTACAACGCTATACCAAAACGTAAAACAATACGTTTCATAGATCTGTTTCAACAAACAAGAACATAATTTTTCAGTTAATTCCTTCACTACAAGGCTATACCAAAACGTAAAACAATATATTTCATAGATCTGTTTCAGCAAACAAGAACATAATTTTTCAGTTAATTAGTGCCTCAAAGTATTTTAGATATAGAATATAACTAAAGAATTGCAGCTGTGTTGGATACATGGCTTACATTTTAAAAGGACAGGAATGAGTACATATTGTGTGACAGGTTTCCAACTTGTACAGCAAGTCTCCTACCAAGGCAGAAATAAGAAATTTAACAGGCCACACTATACAACTCAACCAAAGAAAGGTGACCCAAAAAAAGAAGTTTTGTAGACTACTCGAGAGCCTTTTGGTCTCTTCTCGGTGGAGAAAAATGATACGCACGTTCTCATTCAAATCACTTAACTTAATGAACAGACAGAACTGGGTTTGCCTTTGAAACCGAATCCGTTCTCTCGCTATTCCAAGCACCGCTAGCAGAACAGCAGCTTGCCCCTCCCTCCACCAAGGGGAGCGAACTAAACTCTCAACCCCTCGCAAAACTGCTTGACTCACCAGCCTCCGGCCTTTGAGCCATCCCCCCAGCACGGGGGCTCGGGATCCAGGGCCCTTGTCCTGCGACAGGTCTGCACAACGCACCGCAGCCCCCCTCCCCCGCCGGTCTGGGGCGTCCCTCACTCCCCTTCCCCCCACCGCCCCACTTCGGAGGCGCTGCTGTCACTGTGCCACTCAGCGGAGAACGCCCCTCCCAACTGCCCCTCCCTTCCTCGCCGCCAGCTGCCATTGGCCACCGCCGCGCTCCCGGGCAGCGTCCTTTGACGCCTCCCAGCCCCTAGGCCGGAGTGACAGATCCGGGGCGCGGGAGCCGCACACACAAGCCCCCTCCTGCCCCCGGCCTCCCGCGGGACAGCGCCCCCAATTACCTTCTGCCTGCTCCAGCGAATTCATGGCGGGCAGGGGAGGGCAGCACGCACAGCCGCCCCCTCCTCAGCGCCTCGGAGCCGGTCGCATCACAGACCCGGGGCGACACCGGCTCCTGGTCCCATCTCTCCACCCCTTCCGCAGTCCTCCGCGCCTCCAACAACCTTGCACTCCATTGGACAATGTCTCCGGCTCGCACGCTGCCTCAGCAAACCCCTTCCTCATTGGCTGGGGAGGGAAGGGGCGTGGCTTCAGGTGGGACGATCCCAGGAAAGGGGCGGGAGAATAAAGTGCGTGCGTGCGGCGAACTTTGGGGCTAGTCTCCTATGTTTGCAGCCGGGAGTGCATGGCTCTGCGTGCGCACAATTAGAGCGACAAGCGGCCTGATTCAAAGGCAATGGAATCAATGAGCAGCTTCCTTTGAGGTGCCTGTCTGGGTTTCTTGCAGCACAGGCCAGGGGCAATTCTACAGTGCCTCCCTTAAGAACGTGTGCAAGATACTTGCCTCTCTCACTAATTTCCATCTTTCATGTTAAAGACGAAATTCCTGCATTGGGTTGTGGGGGGCAAAGAAATTGTAAACCAAATAATATTTATGAATTGTTAATCTAAATAAATTAAATCCAGATCAACAGTTCTGGGATGTGTAACATAAAAAGCCAGAAAAACAACTGCTTGGCTTGGAGAATACAGTGGAAAAGAAATGAGACACATTTTCTCTCAGTTCTTTGCCACAGTATTTAGTATCTGTATGTATCTCTTATGTCTATGGGAGCAGAGGCACAGGAAGTAGGGATGTTTAAAAAATATATTTTTGTAAATGTGTAACTGCTGAATTTTTTAGTTGTTACATATTCACAGCAGCAGGGCAGATGGGAGTGCTCACTTGCAGGAGCTGGCTTTTAAAGCTGGCTCCTCAGGAGCACTGGCTCCTGCCTGCCTCCCCTCACTCCCCATGCTGCTTCCTCTGGGAGTGGTACGCACAGGAAGCTGACTTCCTGCGTGTACTGACTGCCTCCTCACCCCTCACATTACTGCCTCTCTATCAGAGGCAGAAATGGGAGAGGGACAGGTGGCTCCATGGGAACCAGTGCTTGTGGGGAGTCAATTTTTAAGTCAACTCCCCTTGAGAACCAGCTCCGCCTACCTTTCCATGCTGCTGCCTACACAGAGAGCCGGCTCAAAAGCTGGTTCCTACCTGCGCTCCCAGGCTGCTGCTTCTGAAACGTAAGCAGCAGTGTGGGTTTGAGAGTAGTTGGCTCAGTGGGAGCCAGTGCATGTGGAGAACTGGCTTTGAAGCTGGCTCCCTGCATTTACCAGTTCCCACTTCCCCAGCCCCTCAGCTGGGGAGAGGGGGGGCAGTTGGTGACGTAGGAGCCAGCACATGCTGGGAGCTGGCTTAAAAGCTGTTTCCCCAGGAGCATCGGCTCCTGCCTCCCCCACCTTGCTGCTTCTGTCCAATTAGCCCAAGCTTATTGGTTAATAGTATTAACAGGAACACCCTAACATCCGTAACTGGAAATAGGGGTGCAGGGGGTGCTGCAGCATCTCTAGGTTTTAGATATCCCAGCCATATGCTGTTGTGCAGAGACCCAGGCACTGGGCCCACTGTTTTCCAGACACTCTGCTTCCAGCCTTGACTCCCTCTTGGCTTTTGTCCCCATGTGGGGGGTCCCAGGCACCGGGCCCTGCTGTTCCCCAGGGGTTCTGCTTCCAGCTCCTGGTTCCTCTCAGCTACCAGCTCTAAATGAAGGGGCTCAGCTGCCAGCCTAAGTCCCGCTTGGATCCTGATGCAGGGTCCAGGCCACTGACCCACATGTGTGGTCTTGGTTGCTGGCCCCAGCTCTAATGGGTGGTGAGGGGCACAGACACAGGTCAAGAGGGGTGCAGCTCCAAATACTGCTCCTATGCCACTGGGTGGGAGCATACACTGGCCCCAATCTGTTCTACAAGACAAGTCACAATCACTAAAACTGGAGGTTAGACTGGACGACCCTTGTGGTCTTCTAACACTATGATTTTGTGATAATCACTGATTTTTTTTATGTATGGATTTGATTTTCCAAAGCCAAGAAAGTTTAAATTCAGACAGATGTATTCTTTTTCTATCTCAATCTTCTTGCAAAAGATAATATTAATCATTGCCAGGACAAGCGAAGTGTGGAACACATCTACTGTTCCAAAGCAGCACATGACTAGAGACCCAAAAAGCTACCCTTTTGGTTTTGAACTGTAGGAAGACTTTGGACCACATTGAACTGCATCAGAACAAGCTATAGGAAATGCAGCTACTTTTCTATAGTGGAAGATCAAAGACTCCCCTTTGTGCAACTGTGATAACATTTAACCCATTAAATGATAATGCAGTGCCCCAAATGTGGATTCAAAGGTGAATTGGATGATACCCAGGAAATCACAGAGGAGACCTTTGAAATGGCTTACAGATGTTCATCTGCATCTATAGAATGAAGCTTTCCAGAACAGATGTTCATCTGCATCTATAGAATGAAGCTTTGCAGATGCTGCTATATGCTTGACAGGAAGCCTCCTAAGCATGGAGAAATTTTAAAAATGCTTGGTTGCCACGTCTACCCTGACATGAAAGATGGCTGAGTTTAATTTGGATGACTTGTATTACTATTTAAATATAACACTCAAAAGATGGCTTGTTGATTTCTTAGAAAAGACCATGTCTAACAGCAACTGATTTTAAGCATAATAAAGAATTTTGTATCTTAGTAAGGTAATGATTTTGGTGGAGGATTCTCTTAAAACTAGTTCACCAAATAGACAAATAAAAAGGGGGAAATTCATTTGTCCATATATGTTGTCCCAGGAATGTTGTCCCTTTAGGGCTCTTTAATAGGGAAGTTGGGGGTAAAAGGAGAGTAAGGATGGATAGAAAGGACAGGAAGACTTTGTAAGCAAGTTTTTGTACTATATTAATTACAATTAAAATGTGTATGTTAGATCATTATGGTCTTTAGAATAGTTTATTTTAAAAACTACATGTCTGGTGACCCAAGCATTTAAGGCTTAAACTGAATAGATTGTGCATCTAAAAATCTATGCAAGGATTTTTAGAGATGTGATTTTATAATCTTCAGCAACAAATTAATGAAATATTTAAAGCAAATGTTAATGTCCTGTAGACATAATAATGCACAACTATTCTTGTTAGTAAACTCAGGGTTACACATGCCTGTTAAATGGCTTCACTACCACTTATTGGCTTTTTCACAGGTTCAATGTTAGGCTAATAGAGCTGGCACACTGGAAGGCTTTTCACTTTCAAGTTAGTAGATCCACTTGGGGTAGGAGGGACTACCAGTCTGGAAACAGCTTGCTGCAGGAGCCTTCAGATACAGTCAGAATAGGGATAGGAAGAAGTGAGATGCTTACTGATGCTCTGTCTCCCACACCCCTCCCTTATTCTTCCCCCCTTCCCCTCTCCCATTTATTATGAATGTTCACATCCTAAACTCATTACTCCAGTCATCTGAAGAAGTGGGCCAGCAAGCTCCCCTTTCTGGTGTTCCCTTCCCTTCTGTGTGTCTCACAACTCCTCCTCATAGAATCATAGAACTGGAAGAGACCTCAAAAGGTCATCAAGTCCAGCCCCCTGCTCTAGGCAGGACCAATTCCAACTAAATCAACCTTGCCAGGGCTTTGTCAAGCCAAGACTTAAACACCTCTAGGGATGGAGACTCCACTACTTCCCTAGGTAACCCATTCCAGTGCTTCACCACCCTCCTAGTGAAATGGCCACCAGAGCTTTCTTGCGCAAGAAAGCAAAGCAGAGCTCACACATGGCAGTGTGGACATTTTCTTGTGCAAGATGTTCTTGCGCAAGAAACTGCGAGTGTAGACACAGCCCTATTGTCTGTGATCACTCTGGCTGAGTAGATTAGGCTCATGGCTTGATGCATGTATTAAAAGAGAATTCCAGCCTTCTTTTTTTCTTTAAAGCAAGACTTTAAGTCTCATGGTTTGTGAAGAAAAGCTAAAATATGTGCCCTGAGTCCAGTCAAAGACCTCAAACACCAGATGCCAACTAAAAAAATCCCAAACTGTATTTTTTTTGGTGATATCAAGAAGCCATTCTCTTTTTGAGGGGTGGGAGGGCCGATTCATGAGTTTTGAACTCTCAGGGTTGGTAAGACCATATAAATTGATAGTATCTTCCTCCATGTTCAGGAGCCCAGGCAGGAACCAGGATCCTACAAAAGACGTGAAACTTAGTCCCCAGCACAAGGACATGGGGATGTCAGGGTTAGATCTCCCCCTGCCTTGCTAACATCTGTGCCGTTGCACAGGAATCCTGCCAACCCCACTTCCATTCCCTCTAAGGTGCCACAGGATTGCTCATTCTTTTTAAAGTTACAGACTAACATGACTATACCTCTGATTATTTTAAGTAAATATAATTAAAACTCTTGGTTACTTTTATTGTTCTATGGGATAAATGCTTGTGCTTGACCTCAATGCTATCTTTATCCATTGCCTGGCTTCAAGATAGGGTGTGGTAGGTGAGTAGACCAGATAATATCTAAACATAATCAAACTTGATGATGCACCAGTGTGGTTCTTGATCAATTAACATATTGATTGGTTAATAGTAACTAAGATCCAGAGGTATTTAGGTTCCTAACTGTAATCAGGTCACTTATCTAGATCCTCAAAGGTATTTAAATGTTGATTTTAATGGCAGTTTAAATACCTTTGAGGATCTGGGTAAGTATCCTGATTTGATAAGTACTGTTCAAGGTAAAAGCTGGCCTGAAAATAATCTAGCTTTAGTAATCTAAAGCTCTCTGGGTTCAGTAATGAGCAATTATCCAATTCAGTTCCAATACTGGGTATAATGTTTAGCAAATGTAGTCTGTAAACTGTCAGCTTTAGAAAACTGGCACCTCAACAAATTAATGAATTTGATCGCTATTCACATGTATGATCGTCCTGCATAGAAACCAGGACGTCAGAGAGAGGATGGGAAGAGAGGGAGAGTGCGGAGGAGGAAGAGGTTCTTCACAGTAACCAGACCCGCAAGGGAATGGGCAGGGGGACAGATAGGTAACTGAGGGGTATCCCCTGGTACCCAGAGCTCTGTAGAGTGGAAGGGAGCGAAGAGCTGCCTTGAACCCGGCGGAGGGGGGAGAGGGGTCCCCATGGTAACCAAACTCCCAGAGGGGCGGGGAGAGAGGGTTGCCCGAATGGGTTTTGGCTGGGGCACAGTTCCCCGGTGCTACCGAAAG